ACTGTGAAATTTCCTCCATTAACATGAGTCTGTACACCATCGGAATTCCACTGAGTTGCATGTTTGCCGTGAACTCTGCCTGTATCTTTTATATCTCATTTAAAATAAAGGGAATTTTTACTCTCATGCACTGCCCGGAAATTACAATGGTGAAATCTTTCTCTGCGATATCCTTCTTTGTCTGGCTTTGCTGGGTCTTCGATTATATTGTGGCGTTAACAAACATCGCCATCTTCGCCTCTCTTCGACAACTTGCTACGGTTGTAAATGGAATAGTCATTTTTGTTGCGTTCAGTCCTGTATTCTTTGAAGAATGAAGTAAAATCAATCTATAAATCATAACAATGTAGTGAAAAATGAGTGGTTATCCTCATAACCTTACATCCGTTAATTTTATTTCTTTCCCTTGACATTTCCTATGAAAATTGTACTAAACAATAAAGGTTCAGGTGCCATGAAGAAGTGAGCATCCCCATTATAATGAAGTCAAAATTTCCAAATAAATAAACAATATTATAGATCTATGTCGCATGAGGAGAAAATTAGGATGGGTTAAATAAATAATTTCAATATCCTATTAAGGTTGCCTGGAAGTACTAGTTTTATAAAATTTGCTAACTAGAGGCAAAAGATAATGAGACGAGAAGTATTCAAAGACTCTGGGGGAAATTAAAATGTCAACAACAAAAAATAATAATAAACATCCGAAAAAGCAAGAAAACTTTGTAAGAGGAAAGAGCCTCCGCAAAAATTAGTCATTAGAGGAGCAGAAAATGTTCTAGAAAGCAGAGGAACGTTCCTGAAAAAGGACCTTACCAGAGAAGAAAGGATCGTCTGAGGACATTCTTAAAAGCTGAGAAAAAATTCTAGAATGTGGGGGAAAATGCCAAAGAAGGAAAGAACGTTCTAGATATGAGACAATCTCGGTACATGATAAGAGGAGGTATCGTATAAAAAGTGGCACAAGAAACATATATTGACGCAAGCGTCAAAAATCGGCCGCAAACCCATTAATTGTTCCATTGATAAAGTAATTAGAAAATGAAATTTGCGTGACCTGTTTTTAAAATTTCTTATATTTATCTATTAAAATATCCTCGTGACATGAAACACTTGCATGCGACATTGCCGATTTTCTTCATGCATAATGCATGTACAATATTATATGTATAAGCAAACTGTCCATAGACTTTTGCGTCTCTAAATTGTAAACGATCCGTTCTGGTGTAAGTTTGATGTTTTATAAGTAGTTTTAACATAAAAGTACAGAACTAAAATTTAAACTAAGCTTTAGTTTTACTTTAATAAAAACGCAACAAATATGAAATATGTGGGGCTCCTCGCTCTTTCTTAGAGGATATTAACTTCCCCCCAACTCCCTCTAGATCCACCACTACATTTCTCTTTTGAGATGTGACGGGAAAATGCATGGCACATTGTAAAACGCGCTTTATCCTAGTTTTTTGGACCAAAATGTTTTAAAATTCTGTGCTTTTAAGAAATAAATATTTCATTAAATTTTTGATAATTTTCCATAGAAAATGTATAAATATACACGTAATTTCAAAATAAATACAACAAATCCCGTTTAGGCTGTTTAAAAAGAGAAAGTAAAATTGTTGATTTAGAACGTGGTCTTTGTTTTAGACTATGCCTACATATAACTTCGCCGCACTTCAATCATGTCGGAGTATGTCAATGAAACACTTACCCCCATTATTTATATGATTTTAATTTTATGATTATTGTGCATTTTGTTAAACATTTAAAAATATCTTTGTTTAATATTCTATAATATGAACGTTAAATATTTTTATTTAAATTGTTCTAACTCCGCAGAAACGCACATCGACTTCGAACTTTCATATCAAGTAACCGACCGCCTCCTGGCGGCCGGTAATAATTCCCAAAGTAAAAGGGGGCGTGCTACATGTAGGAAGTAAACGAATGCCCTAGAAAAAGGAATAAACGTATTTTGCTGGATATTCTTTTTAGCGCTCCTGGTGGAAAGCATCCTCTGCTTATTCAAGTTCAACGCTAAATGTCTCGCACATATACATGTTCACATGAAGAAGAACATTAAGGCGTGCGCTGAAAAAAATCCTCGATAACTTGTTCAAGATCCAGGCTCCGCCAAATATCGTACGCGTTAAATATAATATATTTAAAGCATGTGTTGTGGAAAAGTGATTAAAATTCTTAAGGGAAAATTAATTCTATAATTTTGAACGGTCAATTACATTTTACGTTAAATACGGTTCTAAGAACATGAAGAAGTACGTTTGCACTTATGTTGTAACATTTAATGTTGACAAGACTTGTTGGACAAATTTATAGAAATCATCGTAAGAATAACATTGTGATGTATATTTTGAATTCTTGATATTGACAATGAGATTCAGTGTGGTGTTGCATTTAATTGATATATCAATTTGTTTAAACTTGAACATCAATTTAATATTAATTGTCACACAAGATATTTTACAGTTTTATATGTCATGATCATATATCATTTATCAACTTTTGAACCTCTTTATCTAGCTAACGGTATAAACCTTTGAACCTCTTTATCGAGCTAACCTTTGAACCTCTTAATCGTGCTAACCTTTGAACCTCTTTACTTTTGAACCTCATTATCTGGCTAACCTTTGAACCTCTTTATTTGGCTAACATTTGAACCTCTTTATTTGGCTAACCTTTGAACCTCTTTATGTAGCTAACCTTTAAACCTTTGTTGCTAACCTTTGAACATCTGTGACTGACTGATATTTCAAATTGTGCTGCTTAGTGGAAAAATGAAATGAAGATAAATTGGATTAATTTTTTTAAACATAGAAAAAAAATCCTTGAGGTGGTAATTTATCAGATCAGATTTTTACAAAAATACATAATTATTTTAAAAAAATCGAATTATGATAAATGAAACAAAATAAGGGCCATGGCAAAAAGAAAAAATGCAAATGATATCTATCCCTAATATCGGTGTTCCTTGATAATCGGCCCGTCCTTGTAAATTGAGTCAATGTCCGTGTATCTGTATAAAATAAAATATTTGTATTGTAAAATGTTGTATGTTTGTGATGATTTATTCTGCGTTATACTTAAAACGGGCATTAAATAAAGAGGACTTCCCCTATTCCCATGTTATTTCAAACATTTTCAATATATCAAGCGGACATGGAATTATATATACACGACAAATGTTTTAAACCCAAACTTTAGTGATGACTCCTGGGTCTGGGATTTTGAACAGATTGGAAAGAAAAAGAAACATATTAAGTCTTCTGGAATCCCAACATATACTTACAGATCACTTTCTTAAAAAAAGAAATTTCTCAAATCAGTATGAGTAATTCTTTGATTATTCCAATTCACGAAGGTGAGTTCAATTCTCTCGATCTCCATCTGCTCTTGATTCATAAACTTGATAAAATCCTTACAAAATTAAGATCATTACCAATGTTCTACAAAGTCTTTTCAAACATTTCTGGATGATTGATTGATTTGTTTGTTGTTTAACGTCCCTCTTTTTCACACATATGGAGACGCCGAGATTGCTGGTAGAGAGCAACAAATGTCCTTTACTCGGCACTCAAGGCTAATGAGCAGGGAGGGATCTTTTCCTTGCCAGCACCTACTGCGACACGGGACCTCAATTTAAACGGTCTCATCCGAATGACCGGTCTCCACGTCCCACAGTAGGATTCAAACCCGCGACGTAAGAATCAAATCCTTACTTGACGAATCTAGAGCAGACTTTCTAACCACTTCGCCATGTGGGCGACCTACATGCATGTACTGTGCTACAGCATACTATAGAAATTGCGTAAATCAAATTTTGGTTTGGGGGGGGGGATGGAGTGGCCAACTTTTTCAAAGCCAAGTTACTTTCACTTCCAATTTTTTTCCCCTACATTTCCTTGATATCACTATACTATGGTAAAAAGTGGGGGGGGGGGGGGGGGGCAACCAACCTTTCAATGAACATTTTCTATAGTAAAGGTAATGTTGGGGAAAAAAGTGGGGGGGGGGGGCCGGCCCCCCCTGCCCCCCCCCTCCGGCTCCTGCACCATGTGTCAAACCCTGCCTACTATATAGGCATAGTACATGCATAATGCAACACTATTATATAAATATGTTACTAGTGGTAATAAACATATTCAGTTACGGTTAGATGCACGGATAAATCAGAAGTTGACAAGCTGACATCAGATTCATATAAATATAAATCCAAGCATACTAGATGCCTAAACAAAGTATGTACTAAAATTTCAAGCATCTGCAATGAGTGGTTGCTGAGAAAACTGTGACAAAAATTTTGTTTTTGTGTTTTATATATGAAACGAACAGGTGCACGAATAAACAGGAAGTTGACGTTAGATTTGAAGAAAAATAAATCCCACCATATGGCATGCCTGAGAAAAGATGTTTATAAAATCTTTATTTACAAACTTCCTTTGTAAATTGTTAATATACGTTCGGCATTCATTGAGTTTTGAAAATATCTTTTTTTCATAATAAATGTTTTTCCTACGTACCTATTTCTCTTTAGGTCAGGGGACAGGAAACAAAGATTTTTTTGGGCCTAACCTGTACATGTATGTCAAGGCTTTGTTTTGGATCTACCATATCCCACTTCTGGTGTATTTATAGTATTTAAGGTTCATTGATACTCTGATAAGAGAAATAACTCTTAAAGACATAAATGTCTATTATTCCTTTAAAGATTTGCCATGTTGAAGTGTGTTTTTTGTTGAATTTTGCCCTGCAAGGTATGCTGTAATTGTTTGTATTTTACTAATAAAATACATTTCTTTTTAGAAAATAATTAAGGTTCAAGCAACATTTTATATGTCAGAGTGAGGTTTATGAACCTTTACTTCAAAATGCCAACTCCACACATAATTTTTCAAAATAAAAAGATATCTTATAACAAACACATCATATGTATATAACATGTAGAATGTCTCATTTGCAAAAAAAAAAAAAATCAGTTTTTATATTGGTTTGACCTATTTATTTATTTTTTCTCAAAATGCATCAAAAACTTATCTAGAAATGATAAATGAATGCACAACATTTTCTGAAACCTGATATGAGTCAATGTTCCTTATCTAACACATTATGGACCCTGCAGAATATGTTTCATAATTAATTCATTTTTTAGTGAATATTAAAACATGTATTTTAAATTCACTTACATTATGTACGTGATAGAAATTCATTTTTATAAAATTTACTATCAGGCCAAGCTCAAAAAATTCTTTGTTTGCAGTTGCCGATCTAATCTTTTGAGTGGGTAGGTACAATGTAAGAAGGCATTCTTTTTTTTAATTAAGTTTTTGGATATTTGTTAGATAAAAAATAATACAGCTTTTCAAAGACCTACTAAACCAGAATAATCTTCAGTCTTGTATAAACCAGATTGATAAAATCTAAAATTAAACAGTTTTAATATTCTGAAAATTAAAATAAATATTATAATTGCTAAAAAAAAAAAATTTGGGTCGGGTGCAATTTCAGTGGGTCGTAGGCAATTGCAAACAAATAAATTTTTATTTTAGGCCAAGCTTAAAAAATTGTTTGTTTGCAGTTGCCGACCTATAATTTTTTGACTGAGTCGGTAGGTAGGCATTCTTTTTTTTTGCGGAAAAAAAAAATCAGATTTTTGCTAGAAAACAAATAAAAGAGGTTTTCATAGACCTACTAGACATGAATAAGCTCATCTCTTTTTATAAACCACTGACTGATAAACAAAAAATCAAAAATTTTAAAATAAAACTGTTTCAATATTCTGAAAAATTGAAAAAAAAATTACAAAATGGCTAAAAAAAGTTTGGGTCGGGTGCATTTTCAGTGGGTCGGTAGGCAACTGCAAACAAATAAATTTTTATATTTGGCCTCACTGTTTTCACTTTACAATTAATCTTCTAAGTCTAATTCCAGGTCTTCTATTTCATCCACCAATTCTTGTCTCTTCGCTACCTTCGCCAGCTGCTCTTTTTCCGGATTCTTTAGCTCACCCGAGTCAATTTTAGCTTTTAAGTCATCCACTTGTTTTAATTTCTTTTTCAAGTTCCTAAGTTTCTTTTCTATGGCTGCTTTATCACTAGGTGGAACCTCATTCTGAGAAGCATCAGAAATTTTCGAAGCTGCCAGCATTGCAGTAACTGTCTCTACACTTTCCCCCCTCCCCCCAGCCCCCGACTCCTGCTGATGTTTCTTCTTTTCTTTCCGCTTGGCGTTCTTTTTAGCAGACTTAGACATGGGTTGGCTGTCGGATTTTTTCGATGCCTCAACATCTTCTGGGTTTAGTCCAGGGGGCAGGGTGGGTCGACTTTTCATCCATTGGACTCCTCGATTTTCATATCTTCAAGAAGTCAAAATGAAAAAAAAATATCATTTGTTGAAAATTTCTAACACTGCACTTGTATGTAAATTGATGTTTTTAAAATTTAGCCCAGTTACTGGGTACTGAGTTGCTTGTGTATTCATGAATGAGCTCTACACAAGTTATTTCTCAGTAGTATTCATGAGTTAATTGTTTTTTCATGCCAAAGCTACCAAATTATGAAGCCAGCTTTTGTAAGTTCATGCACATACAGTATACAGTGTACAACAATTAACTTTGTATTCAAGAATTTACCACCAATTAAAACAGCACATGAAACTATAATTTTACTATAAATTTGCCTAATGAGGAGACCAGTCCTTCAGATGAGACCATATTAAACACTGTTAACTGAGGTCCCAAATGTCACAGAAGGTGCTGGCATGAAAAAAAAGGTTGCTCAAAGTTTAAGTGCTGAGTACAGCTCTTAATTTTAATTTGCAGCTCTCCACCAGCAAGTAGTGGTATCTCAATATGAGTGAAAAATTCTTAAATGGATGACGAACAAAATAAAACAAAACTTACACAGGAACTTCCTCTTGGGGTACATATCCATCTTTGACTTTTCTGGGCTTTCTCCAAGTTCCGTCTGGTCGACGTGTGGCAGGGATATAAAGCTCACCTGAAAAAGGAAAAAAAAGAACTCTATGGAAAACACTCAATCATGAAATAATGGCTCAATCTTAATTAGATAAGACTTCTTAGGTAGATTAATGGCATAAACACTTTGCGTAAGAAGATCTGACACAACCTGACTAGGGGTCATGTTCTCCTGAACTTTATGATGTGAATATTCATTAAAATGGCGTGGATCTACTGATCTAAAAATTCTGATTTTAATTAGATTGTGTATTCATACACATAATATTGTACGAATTTGAGAAAAGTTGACTTTGATGAAGACTTGTTTCCAAATAACTACTAACCTAGTAGCAATTGTATGAAACTTTGTAAATTTTAATATCAGATACTGTAAATGATATAGCCAGAAAAACTTTTAAAACTTTCAGCAAAACTTCTTTTTAGGAGCTACATTTTGGTGAATGATTTTTACATACTTATTTTCAGAAGAGTTTAAGATTAAACATTACGGCTGTCATGGGTACCCGAAATGACCTGGAACCACGGAACAACTTATTCGTTTTTCCAGAACTCGGTTCGGTTCCAATTTGTACATTAGAGTAGGTTGTACTATAAAAATGGCCTCAAAAACATGAGATTTGTTAGTACATTGCCATTATAGGGTGATTTAAATAATTTGTACAATTGTTTTCTAGTCAGGAAACTACTTTAAAATAGTTATAATGTTGCTATTTCTAAGATTAAATGAAATTATTCTTTGTTGTTGAAAATAATACAAATCATGAGCTTATATTCCATTACCTACCCGAACCGAAAAACCCAAAACCAAACCTAAAAAAATCAGAACTGACTCAAAAAAATTTTGGAACCATGACAGCCCTATTAAACATTGAAATTTCATTGAATTATATATTTTCACTGCTCCAATTTGTGATTTTTTAAGGCATTCTGAAAAAAATAGCACATTTAAGAAAAAAAAAAGTTTGATAAATAAAAAAGCTAAATCAAGCTATTCTGAATAGCTTGATAAAGCTAGACATGTATATTGCTAAATCAAGAGATTGTGTCAGATTAATGACCAAATATAGCTGCAGAACTGTAGCATTATGGTTTTATATTTACATTTGCAAATGTTTTCCTTTATATAACACTACTGAAAGCAATGCGTATCTATAATTGTCCAATGTAATTTCTCAGTAACGTCATAAAGGCCAGAAGGAATGATAAAATTCAAGTTTTGCCAAAGATTATGCATTGGAAGTTTCCTATAAATTACCTGTCTTCTCGTCCTTAACAACACCTTCCCGCTCAGGAACAAAATCCATGAGAAGGGTGTAATAATTTCACCGATATCTCAGGTTGTAAGCAAGTGGTGACAAAAATGTGAAGAAATTCGAACTAGAGCTCTTCTGTCAATGAAGATAAAAATAATAAAACTTTATTCTAAATCCGTACTTTACACCGTGGTATGTACATATCCGGAATGCTTTTTATTCAATCTTGTAAAAAGTACACTCTGAATAAATTTAAATATTGATTACCAGTAAAAAATAGTTAATATTTCTTATTTTGTATCCTTCATTATTCTTAAAAAAATTTATGAGGAAAAGGGGGAGGGGGATTTTAATAGAAAGTATGTAACATTATTTACTTTTCATGATAAAAAAAAATTAAAAGGAAACATGTACAGCTAATTTTCATTTCGGTTGTACCCCTCGAAAACATTACAAACAAGTATTTATATCCCAATCATTATATATCAAACAAAATTTTTATCGAGTTTTTTGCTGTCGGAAAAGGCTGGATTTATTTCATCCTCGAGGCTGTTGTTGCATGTATTTCAATTTTGATAAAATTTCAATTAGATATTTAGATTTTGATCTCTATTATAAAATTTACGAGTTTACTAATCTCCCACTGGCAAAAACCGATTCAAATGAAAGCTTTGGAGTATTTTAATTAATTTCCAGAAACATTTATTTCAGTCTTATCACAAATGGAAATCCAGCACCTGTTACACGCGTATGTCGTGCGGTATAATGATGGTTTGTCAGTTTACTGTCACAAAATAATGTTACGTGTATTACTGTAGCATTTAAAATAGAACTGAAACAAATCCGATCTCTTATTAATCCATATTAAGCAATTGAGAAAGAGCGGATATCTGAAACTGGGGTAAGGTTCCATCATTTTAAAACTACTTACCAGTATAGAAAATTATTGATATCAACAAGATAACATGTCAAATTAAAAAAAATATATTAAAATAAAAAAAGAAGAAAAGAATTTAATTTTAATGGCATATTGATTTGGAAGTTTAAGTCTTAAATTTGAAAATAACAGTCTGTAATTAACTGAGTACTGAACAAATTTATTTGTTTTTAACTATGAAACAAAAAAAACCAGCCCATCTTTTTTTTTTTAAATCTAAAAAAAAAAAAAAAGCCACGGTCCATCCTTTCGTAATTCCTTATTATTTTTTTTCAATTAAAAAAAATCATAATTTTAAAGGATACATGAAATGAGATTGACTGAAAAATATTAGAAAAAAAAAACTGTTAGCGGTAGCATATGTTAAGAAAATGTTTGAATTTCATATTGAATATCAAAGTTTTCGTTTGAAATATTACATAGTTATACATATTAATTAAAATTATTTCCACTTACAGAATATGAAACAACTGTGTATTTTAACATTTCTGTCCTTGTTCCATTTATCAGGTAAGATAAAAATTTCTTTCTTTCTTCCTTCCTTTCTTTCTTTTATTTTTCCATTTAAAAATAGTGGTGACTGTTCTTTAAATTATAAATAAAACTCTGTGGCGGTTAAGTGTTTTCTTTTTTATCTTAATTAATCCTTGTTTACCATTACTTTGATAAAAAGAACTTTTATTTTATTCAAATTCCTTGTATATATGTAAACATATATTTTTAAGAGGGGGTCATTTAAAAAATGTTTATATAAAAAAATCATTATCTGAAGAAATAGTTAAGTTTTTAAGGTGAAGTATAAAATTAGCAGTTAAGCAATCAAAACTACCCATGAAAGTATCTCTGAATTTTCAAAATTTTCTCAAAAAATAATGGACGTAATAAGCTGAAATTTTCAGTGAATGTTTGTTTATCATATTTAAGTTAATTATCTATATATGAATAATGGCACAGGGTAATCACGGTCAGTTTTTCAGAGGGAAACAAAAGATTTAAATAGTACGAATAGGGTAAAAATTATCCTTAAAAAATTTATTTTGTTTATTTTCATAAAAATCTAGCATTTGAAATGGGAAAGTGGGGAACACAACACACGAAAAATGGTGACGTTTGGTGACGTTAGAAATAGTTCGCTATGACAGATTGTGTTATAACGCCGTATAATTTAAATGAAACAGAAGAAAAAAAATCCCAAAAAATTGCCAAATCTTTAGTATATAAATGAAATGGGAGTTTTCTGTGTAAAGTCTTTCTTGATAGTCCCGAGGTAATACATGTACAAGACATACAGACAAACTACAATTGTAATAGCTATAAAATTAGCAGTTAAGTAATCAAAACTACTCATTAAAGTATCTTGGAATCCACAAAATTATGTAATTTTATCCACAGTATTCCTTAAAAGTAAAAGATTAAAATTAATCATGTTATATAGGGAAAATTATCAAACTTTCAATATTTTTTTTTTCAGAAAAAGCGAATTGGTATTTCAACAATGCATTTTTTAATTGCATATTGATCAACAAATATATTTTAGGTTAAAAAACGATAGGTATCCAGGCATTCAGAGAAATTGTCATGATTTTCATACTTATTTGGTATTTTATGTCTTCTATTTCCGTCATGTATTCTATAATACATAGTGAAAAAGGCTTTTGCTATCATTGCAAGACACCGCAAATCACTTCTTATTTCATATCGTTAATAGGCAATTGAATCTAAGGCTGGATTCAAGAAAATCTTATTCTCTTAAACTGTATTAAGTTTTTTCCTTTTATAGGGTACAAATGTCAACTTTTATAAGACCTTTTTTAAGACTTCCAAAAACCTCTAATCTTATAAAGATGAATAATATAAAAATTGTTGCTTGAAAAAATTTCATTTTCAAGCTTCATTTTGATGCATTTCAAATTGAATATTAATTTTTGGAGTTATCCTTCCTGGCTGAGGATCGTATATCCTTAAACTCAGAATTTCAATCCAATGTTTACTAAAACGTCCGGAATAAATTCTTTGCGGACGTCGAAGAAAACACAAATCGAATTCGTAAAGGGGGGATAAATGAGACTATTTATGTATGCAGTCTATTAATTGTATACAGTCACGTGATCTTTATTTTAGTGGGCGTTTCTCGATTTCACGATTGTGACGTATACGGCCCTGATGACCATAACCCCTACCTCTCCCCCAAACCTGGCTATGACGGAAAGATCTGCATCCAGGATTTAACAGAGGGAGTATTCTACTGTAAATATTGGAAATGTCAAACGCCACCCTGTCCACGTGAGCAGCAGCTGAGAGGATCCGCCTACAACAAATGTCCACCTGTGAAGGTTAGTGCTCCGGTCTCCCTCCACTTGGAGTTCCTCGGATGGCCCGTACCTCGCACGGAGTCGGCCGAGAATTACCGATTGGCAGTTCTCAAAATGTCAGGGGTGCGTTCAACAGCGTATCAGCTAACCTATCAGCTAAGTAGTAGATATCTATCTCTAATGAACGGACAGCTAACCTAGCTGCGAATTTATGTTAGATTTTGAATAAAGATATATCAATAAAAACTTATTATTGGATCAAATAAAGTTTATTTCAGGCAAAAATATGTATCTAAATTTACATTTGATTCTCTTAGATGTTGGAAATGATCCTCCTTTTTGTAAAAATCTTGAATGCTGCGAATTTGTAACCAAGGAAACCATCTTGGATTTGGGACGTAGCATTAAATATTTCTCCATAAGTAGCGGCTAGATTAGCTCTCCGTTCAAGAGCGCAGCTTTACGTAGCGGCTATGTAGCAGCTGCGCTGTTGACGCACCCCAGGAGTTCTCCGTCCACATGTGGTCGTAGGACCCTGACAAACTTTATTTAATATTTTACGGGGTTATTGCAGCGGCAACTTTCACATTTTGATCATATACAATTGTTCTTCCAAGAATAGACCTCCAAGTATTTAAATACAGTACTTTACCATTTTATGTTTATCGACAAAAAGATTATCATATAATATCCTTGAAAAAAAGAGTAAATGTATATTTATGAATATACATGTATTAAATGACAAGAAAACATTGATGTAACCATCAATTGTCGCCCGGGAAATAAATAAAGTAAACAATGGAAATGAGTCTTGATCATCAAACCGCTTCTTTATGTGTGAAAGACATGCGTCTACATGATGGAGACGATTGTCGAGAATATTTTGAAAACTTGTAGTCGGATGTAAATCGAACAAAAGCGATACCCTTTGAAACTTTATCAATTCCTCGAGTAAATGTTGGCTGCATAAAATATAAATTGAAAGCAGACATATGCATCTGAACTTATATTCAACAATCTATTTCACTTTTTAAAGAATTTATATACAAACAGTCTACAGTACGTTTTTATGCGATAAGTAAAATTCGATGTTCTAAAAAGGGACCCGTCAGTAAATGATAAGCATATATATATGTATATAAAAAGTAATTATATTTTTAGAGAAAAAGATAGCAGTATTATGATTAACAATCTTTTTAATGTTTAGAAAACCTTTCATTTTGAATAACTTCTCCCACCTCAATACCCATACACCAACACTTAAACTTATATGGGAGCAGCCCGGTCCTCCAGGCTGCAATAAGTGTATTTTACCTTCAATGTTCTCTAATTAAGTACATGCACCGATTTTATATCGCATCGTCGCAAACCTTGGAAAATTCAGATTACTGGTACTCATGTAACTAAAGAGAAATGCACTGCAGTCTTAGTTATGGAAATTTGCACAATGTCTAAACATGACCATTGCCTAGATTGGACGTCATTTAGAGGACATCATTTAAAAACGATAACATTTTAAAAAAAAATGAACTTATTTTGTCATGCTCCTTTCAATGTCAGTCAAATTGTGTAAATAAGTATTTTATCGTGATATGTACATTTTTATGAAATATCCATTATTTTCTTTTTCCCTACAGGAACCTGTAGCAATGGTGGAGTGATTTACGAGGCAGGGACCTCATTTTTATGCGCGGATGGAGCGAACACCTGTCGCTGCGGTAAAAATGGGAGTGTGGGATCAACCTATATGATGACGAACAAGTATTCCCTCTGTCGAGCACCACTTGTAGGATGAAAAGAGAAATGAAATATCTTGCATTGATTAAAAAAAATTCAAATTTTACTCTTAACTCACAATTTTCAGAAAACACTGCGTGTACTCTGTT